TGGCATCTGAGTCAAAGTGGAACTCTGTGCCCGTTACTGATCCAGCCACAGGCCCATTCACCTGGTCCACCAAGAGTCACTCTCATCTCCTCAGTCCATAAAACCTTTGAAAAATCTGTCTTTAGATATTTCTTGGCTCAGTCTTGACATTTCAACTTATGTGTCTTGTTCAGTGGTGGTCAGGTTTCAGCCTTCCTTACATTGGCCATATCTTTGGTCACTGAACGCCTTGTACTTCTTGGCACTCCAGATAGGTTGCAGTTCTGGAATATGACAGCAATGGAGGATAATGGGTTCCTGGTAGCTTTACACTTGATTTTTTTCAAATCTTTGGCAGTTGATTTTTTCTCAAGACGTTTCTTGAAACCCTGTTGACCATTTGCAACAAAACTTTAATGGTTCTGTGGTCATGCCCCAATATTTTAGCAATTTCAAAAGTGCTGCATCCCTCTGAAAGACTTTTCACAATTTTTGACTTTTCAGAGTCAGTTCTATCTCTCTGTTGGCCCATTTTGCCTGAGGAAAAGAAGTTGTCTAATAACTATGCACACCTTGATATAGGGTGTTGATCTCCTTAGGCCACACCCTGCCTCATTACACAAATGCACATCACCTGATATGCTTAATCCAATAATAATCATAAAAACGATGATTTGTTCAAAATACTCACTTGCCTAGTAGTTGTGCAGTGTAAGCTTGGTCAAAAAAAAAAAAAATATATATATATATATATTGTGACAGTGTGGCAATCTGTCACGATGTGGAAGAGTTATTTCACCCAGGATTCTCAACCAGGCAGGTTGAGGGGCTCCAGAGGAATTGCAGAGGAAACTGGCTTTTCGGTTTCTGCATTTATTCGTTAAGTCCGTTTTGGGATCTGGAGCCTGGAGATTTCAAAGAGATCTGGGAGGGATGAAATCTCCAATCCTGGGACCAGGTTTTGGGAATGGCCAGGACACTGATTGCACAGGTGTGCATGGCTCTTTCGTAGAGTCCAGACTAGGGTTCTGGGCTCCACCTCAGCAGACAGGAGTCAGGAGGGCTCCACCCCGGCAGGCAGGAGGTCAATGCCTTGAAGTCAGGTGGGCTTCACCTAGGAGAGGTGGAAGCCAAAAGCAGCAAGGAGCTGCTCGGGAGTAGCTGTGTGCTAGTGACTAGCTGTGTGCGAGAGCCATTTTTGAAGGAGTCAGCACGAGACAGAGGCCAGAAGAAGATTGTTTATATCTGAAAGAGCCAGGAGGCTGAATCTTTTCATTTATATTGATGATAGATACCCCTGCATGGGAAACCTTTTATGTTATTGAACTGTCATTTAAATAAAAGTGGGCTGAAACGGCCCTTAAAAAAAGCAAGCGAGTTGCTGTGTGCGTTACAAAAGCTCTACCATTTGAAGCGAGGTCCCACATATGGTGGAGAATGCGGGCAGAACGGGAGATCCCTGTGATGAAGTAAGTTCATTTGTTCTATGAACTGTGTTTGGTGCATATGTCTGCACTATCTGTGTGTGCAGGTGAGGAGAACCTGCTAGAGAAAAGGACTTTGCCTTAAAGAGACAGTGTTTCATGGTGATGCTGAACTGTGTAACACACTGCTGTGTGCGTGACTGCAAAGATGGGCCAGTCAAAGCAGAAAAAGGAGGCAATGTTTGCTGAAGCGAGAGATAGAGCCCTGTGGCTAGGGGGTTATATACCGCATGCCCCAGCCAAGCTGGGAAATTTAAATGTGGGCGAGTCTGCTATCGACTGGTGCAAGCGGCACCTGGCAGCATTGAACCAGCCTACAGAGGAAAGCAAGCCAACCTTCAGTGCAAGGAGAGAGCTGCAGGATGTCCATACCTGGGAGAGGGTGTTGTTGCCCCTGGCAATGCTGCTGCAGTTAAACAAGTAGCTGTTGTGAAAAATGTGAATGTGTCACGGCTTGATAGTTGGTCCAGCAGAGAGAAGCCTATGCTATGTGCAAGGAGAGGGGCTGACCAGAGGCCAGGACCAAGAGTGAAGGTCCATAGCAACACAGAGGAGGCCAGTCTGGCTGTCTGTGTATGGGGGGCTATGTCGTACAAGGATCATGGCAAGTGGCATCAAGAGGAGCCAATACAGCGTGTTGGAAAGAGCCAGCAAAGTTCTGCTTGGAGAGTGCAATCTCCCATGGCAACCAGAGAAAAAAATATTGCCTGGAAGGAGGAGCTGCATTGGAGATGTGGCTCAGTATCCCAATAAAGATAAGTGTGGAAATGTACCCTGCCTGGAATGTGGTCATTGGGGGCATGGTATCTTTTACTGTCCCAGACTCTGGAATACCGCTGATACTGGGCAAATGTCTACAACTGCAAGCCCAGATTCTTGTTTTAAAATGTTGGCAGCCACCTCTGGCAACAGGGAGGAAGTACCTGTTGGGCCTGCAGGGGGTGCCAGAGAGTCCATGAGCCTATAAGTGCGTCTGTCACTTCACCTTGGGGCAAGGGAAAAGTTGCCAAGGAAAATGCAGTTGAGGATGCACTTATGAGACGACGCACTCAAATGAAGATAGCGACACCTACTACTGTGGTGGGTAAGACTGTGTGTGATAAAACCATGGCTGGGACTGCTAATGTCATGTTGAGAAGGACTGGTTATGAGACTGTCCATTCTGATGTAGGAGTGACCCCAGTTAGTTGGGCCACTGAATGTGCTTTTGAGAGTGACTTTTCCCTGTGCAGTGCCTTGTACAGTGGGGAGGTAGGGGTTAAATAAAACCTGTGCGTGGTTCTCAAAAAGAAAGTGATGTCACTAATGTGTGCCAGTCACAGGTTGGTAGTGGGCTAGTACAGCCCACAAGAGCTAAAAATGCTGATAATGTTGTGGATGATGTGAAATGTACTGCTGTTGGAAAAACCCTAAGCTCTTGCAGTGCAAAAGCGGTATTGAAGATGGGTCATTTCCCATAAGTAACTGGTGTCCTTAGAAATCTCCAGGGGTCTCCATGTATTGAAGTCGGAGGTTGCCCTGGACAACTGCGATGTCACTTTGGTGCAGCAGAGTGGAACTGCACCTTATCATAGGAGTGTGTTGGTGCAGTCTAATAATTACTGAAAGTGTTCAGGTAAACAGCGAGTTAATGCAGCCTGACAAAAATGCAAATGTGTAGGTAATTCAGGAAGCACCACCAGAGCAAAGTGGTGGATGTGAGGTATTACAACCTGCATTGGAAAACAGGTGTTACCCAAGTCTGACATGATCCAGAGTGATTTGTGCAATAGATCTGCAACTAAGCCCGTCTATTCTTATGTGTCTCCTTGGGGATGGATTGGTGCTGGGGAGCACTGGCGAATTGAGCACATATACAATGGATTGGGATAGTTGGGGTAAAAGGCTAATCTCGTTGATAGATGAGGCTTTTTATGCAAAAAAATAAGGTGGACACTGTTTCTGCTGGGCCAGCAGGAGGGTCTATAGAATGGCCTATAGATAAGGGCGTGTATACAGCAGAGACTTTGTCTGTAACCCACAACCGTGATGTTGGCATGGAGTGTCAAAATGATGTTGTCACTGGGAATGATCGTGGGCAGCTTATGGGTGCTGAGTCTGAGAAGTTGAGAGTGAGCCCAGCACCTGGCAGCGCTCTGGTGGAGCACCAGGCTGTGGTTACCTCCAGCTGGGAGGAGGTCCCTTTAAAAGTTTCAACTTCTCAAGTCTCAGCAGGTGAGTCTCTCAGCATTCCCAGTGTCCTAAATATTGTCAGAAGGTCTTGGGTCTAGAGTCAAGTGGTTGGGTTGTAACCAAAGTAATAAAGGAGATGCTTGAACTTTGGAATGTACAACTAATGTATACTGGGTGTCTCCTCCAGTCAGATGGTCTGGTACTACGGAGTACCACTAGGGGGAGCACCGAATGGCTGGCTTGTACAGATCAAAGGGGAACAAGAAAGTGGTTTATTTCTGAAATTGTTGATGGTTTTTAAAAGTTGTATCCGGGTATGCCGCTGGACTACCTATAAATGTGATTTATGAGAGAGGTTTTTGAGAAATGAAAAATGAGGCAAAAAAGGTTTCGCCTCCTAACAGCCAGGTGGGAAGCATTTCTGCTGCTATGGTCCAGGATGATGCTGGTCAGTTTTCAGTGAAGGGCGTGTTTACTGCACCAGGGGACAAACCACATGAGTTGGAAGGGCAGTGCATGGACCAGAGAACAGCAGAGATCCTGACCAGGGCTCAGATGGATGTGCTGAAAGAAATCAGGATCACTGGGCCAAAAAGAGGTTTAGGTAAACAGGTTTGATAAGACACCTGAAAAACAGGAACAAATGGTATGTGAAAAACTGGCAAAATGGATCAGAAGGGAGCTCATCTGTACAGGATTTGGATACAGATCCAAGTGGTGTAGAAAAGGTTAAAATGGTGGGACAGCCACCTGCAGATTGCATGACACCAGGTGAAGTGGAATTTTGTGAGGTTCACGTGGGTAATGGCTGCCCTATGGTGTGTGTGCCCTCTGCAGACACTGTCCTAACAAATGCTGGAAAAGATATTGAGAGGTGTAATATTGACTGGAATATATCTGTTCATGGTAAAATTGAATACTGTGGTGACAAGTCACGCAGGTTTGATATCCAAAGATACCAGAAATAAGGGGGGTGGTCCCGGTACAATTACAGTAGAAATAGGTCCCCTACAGCCTTGGGACAGTAATACTGAGAGAGAGGTATTAGGAAAACCTTGGAACCTGAACCAAAGAGGCAGAAAGGTTGATCGAAAGGCCAGGGGGACCCCGTTAAGATTTCAGGAGAGAAAGTGTTTATGGAAATGCACCTGGAAAAAGAGTAGGGAAGGTCTGATTAGAGCCCATAGCAGCGTGACAATGGGGCTTGGGGAGAGACACCAAAGGAGTCATTGGGTAGAGTTCCCCTTTAGGAAAGTTATGGTGAGACCAGATTGGACCCCTGTAAGTGAGATCTAACAGAGAACAGAGGTGCCAGAAGATGTAAGTTGTGTGTTCTGCCCCCTACGGGGTCAACACAAAGGGGGGGGATATGTGACAGTGTGGCGATCTGTCACAATGTGGAAGAGTTATTTCACCCAGGATTCTCAACTAGGCAGGTTGAGGGGCTCCACAGGGTTGATGTATTGCAGAGGAAACTGGCTTTTCGGTTTCCGCATTTATTCCTTAAGTCCGTTTTGGGATCTGGAGCCTGGAGATTTCAAAGAGATCTGGGAGGGATGAAATCTCCAATCCTGGGACCAGGTTTTGGGAATGGCCAGGACACTGATTGCACAGGTGTGCATGGCTCTTTCGTAGAGTCCGGACCAGGGTTCTGGGCTCCACCTCAGCAAGACAGGAGTCAGGAGGGCTCCACCCCGGCAGGCAGGAGGTCAATGCCTTGAAGTCAGGTGGACCTAGGAGAGGTGGAAGCCAAAAGCAGAAGGAGCTGCTCGGGGAGTAGCTGTGTGCTAGTGGCTAGCTGTGTGCGAGAGCCATTTTTGAAGGAGTCTGCACGAGACAGACGTAAGCCTGAAGAGAAAGGCCAGAGGAAGATTGTTTATATCTGAAAGAGCCAGGAGGCTGAATCTTTTTGTTTATATTGATGATAGATACCCCTGCGTGGGAAACCTCTTATGTTATTGAACTGTCATTTAAATAAAAGTGGGCTGAAACGGCCCTTAAAAAAAAGCAAGCAAGTTGCTGTGTGCGTTACAAAAGCTCTACCATTTGAAGCAAGGTCCCACAATATAATACATACTGCTCAAAAAAATTAAAGGAACACTAAAGGCACCCTGACTGCCATTAGGTATTGAGATGAAATCCTTGGACCCATTTGTCAGACCCTATGCTGGTGCAGTGAGTCCTGGGTTCCTCCTGGTGCATGACAATGCCCGGCCTCATGTGGTGAGGGTATGCAGGCAGTTCCTGGAGGATGAAGGACTTGATACCATTGAATGGCCCCCACACTCGCCTGACCTAAATCCAATAGAACACCTCTGGGATATCCTTTTTCAGTCCATCTGACGCCACCACAGACTGTCCAGGAGCTCAGTGATGCCCTGGTCCAGATGTGGGAGGAAATACCCCAGGACACCATCCACCATCTCATTAGAAGCATGCCCCAACATTGTCAGGCATGCATACAAGCATATGGGGGCCATACAAACTACTGAGTACCATTTTGAGTTGCTGCAATTAAATTTCAGCAAAACAGACTTGCTTGCTGCATCATTTTTTGTCCCCATTAAGATCTGATGTGTTTTCAAAGTGTTCTTTTAACCGCTTCCCATCAGCCCTATAGCAGAGATACTGCTATATACTGTATATATACGTGATTTTGCATTTTCAGGTAGGGGGCGCGCGCCCTACCCATGCCACCATTCGTGGCCGCAGCTGTCAATCACCAGGTCCCGGCCGGTGATTACCTGCCGTCGCCCGGTGATTACCGAGCATCTCCGACGGGGACGAGGACTGTTTTGTTTACTAATAGTTCTCCACCCTGTCAGCTCAAGAACACTGCTTTGGATGGCTGTGCAAAGCACAGCCATCCAAAGCAGTGTGCTTACAGTGAAGCACACTGACACCGCCCCCTAGTAAAACACTCCCTGCACACAGTTAACCCTTTGATCGCCCCTCATGTTAACCCCCTTCCTGCCCAGTGCCATTAGTAGAGTGTCAGAGCTTCTTTTTTTTTCTTTTTTTTTTTTTAGCACTGATCACTGTACTGGTGTCACTGGGTATGTCAGTGACACCAAGTCAGTTCCCCCCAGTGATGAAATTTGATTTTTAAAATTTTTGTGCTGGACATGTTTAATAGCAAAAAGTCAAAAATATAATTTTTTCTCAAAATTGTCAGTCTTTTTTTTTTATAGCGCAAAAAATAAAAAACACACAGGTGATCAAATACAACCAAAGAAAGCTCAATTTTTGGAAAAAAATGAACATAAATTTAATTTGGGTGCAGCACTGTATGGCTGCGCAATTGTCAGTTAAAATAATGCAGTGCAGTAACACAAAAAATGGCCTGGTCAGGAAGGGGGTAAATCCTCAGGGCAAGTAGTTAATTTTTTTGAGCAATGAATATATATATATATATATACATATATATATATATATATATTTACATTTTTTCCTTGTAAACTAATTATATATTTGGGTGAGTGGAATGTTAGAACCCATCCTTAGCCAATTGGATAGAGAATGGCAGGACTGAAAATTTGTCATCTTTGTATTGCTATATGTATCCCTCTTTAGGAGAAATCACCCTGCCATCTATATGACAAGTGTCAAACAGTAGCGACATTGAAATAAATTCTCCCCAATTTCCTATCTATTTGAAGGATGGAAGAACAGGAAATACATGAAATTCCCCCTAAGGTTCAGAACCTCTATCGGGGTTTTATGGCTTTTTCCACATGGAGAAGATTTGTCCTTACAAAGTCAGCAAGAGGTCCCTATGCAGAGGTAGCAAATGGGTCACGATTACTCCTGTGGTAATGACAATATATGCATTATAGTTCATTGAATTATGACATAAAATAATTTCACACCCAACTTATATTAATGTTTGTGTATTGAACATTTTAAGGAAAATTTGTCATAAGATAAAATAGCAAATGGAATTAAAATAACTTGTCCATCTTAGTGAGTTGACCCTATTATGTCACTGCCATATAACCATACCACATTGAACTGCAATAGCATATTATTCTGTATCATACCATTACAGTAAATTATATAAATCACATTGTAATGACAAATCCATCAACCATCAACTGTACATTATATCACCCAGCAGGAATATAGATTACAACTGCACATAGCTAGAACATTGCAAGAACATAGAATGAGATAACACATTCTGCATAAACCACATTATGCTGTAAAAGCAATTTATATTAACTAACAACATTATTCATCCACCACCATCCCCTCTAATGTGAGGTCCTTTCATATTCAGTCACTATATGGCCCCATCCTTATGGGAAGCTCTCTTCAAAATCATAAAGGAAATAAAAAGTAAAAATTCCCTATAATGGGGGTGTGTACACAGTCTGTCACTGTAAAATGGCACTTACAGTAACCTTCCAGTGTAAGATGTATAAACACTGGCCACCAATGTAATGGAGAAATGTTCACTGGCCACCAATGTAACAGCAATACTTACTCTTACTCTGTTCACCAATTCCACCAATATAATGATGTAATGATGGTCAGTGTAAATATCTCCATTACATTGATGGTTATTCTATAGAAACCCCGTTAAATCAATTGTCAGTGTAAATTTCCTCTTTACATTGGTGGTCAGTGTAAATGTTGCTGTTACATTAGAGGTCAGTATAAATGTATCCATTACATTGGTAGTCAGTGAAGTGCCTCAATCATCAGTGTTTAGAGGGAAATGGCCCATTACATTGGTGTTGTTTGGTGAAGAGCCTCTATTCATTAGCGTGAGTAGGAAAAGGGCCTCCATTTATTGGTGGTCAGTGGTTACTTTTCCTGAAATTGAGCTCCTCTGACACCTTTAGGAGGTACTACCAGGTACTGACCACAAACCTTGAACATTGCTAGGGTACTTTCATTCATTGGTTCCCTGCCATTATCTGACCACTGGGATTCAGGGACTCAAATACAGGCAGGGGCAGCCCAGCCAAAGACTAGAGGTCTCAATAGTCTAATAAGAAAAAATAAGAATAATTAAGAATTTTTGTGAACCTCAAGGAGTAGGAAAGAGCAGACAAATGACTAAATGGAGAATAAAATGTTATCTGGCTTAAAGAAGAAAGTTGTGATTCCTCCAAAGCAGAGATTGACAAGGTTCTCTAACAAGTGCACCTGATGTGTATATATATATATATATATATATATATATATATATATATAGTGACAGTATGAACGGCAAAGTGATGGATGGAAGATATGTGTCACCTCGCATGAGGTCATACTGTGAGGTGTAAGGTGGAGTCCACTCCGGGTTTTCGGGGCCACAATGACAGAGGTGGTTCTGAACCAGAGTTTGAACTCCACTAATGACCACCAACAGGTGATACAAAAAGGGCAGGGCTGGAGCAAGGAGTTGCTCGTGGCCTGGGACTCAGAGAGCTATTCTGAGAGAGCTGTGTGTGCACTATACCTACAAGAAAAGGTTTGCGTTTGTTTTGTTTTTGGGTGACAGGGAGCAGCCCTCCACCTCTGAGAGAGGAAAGTTTCCTTTTTAGTTAGTGTTTGGATGGCAAGGGTTTATTTTACTGTTTTGTTTGTTTTGACATTCTGGCAAACCTTTTTAATAAAACTGACAACCAGTCAGATTTTGACGAAAGCCTGCTGTGCGGTCTACCTTTTTCCCAGGGAAGGAGATCCCCCCACCTGAGCTAACCCCACATATGGTGGAGGATGCGGGCAACTTCCTGAGCAAGTGGGAAGATGGAGGAAATAATAAGAGCCTTGCTGCAGGCCAATGCAGCACAACGGGAGACAAATCGCCAGTTTGCGGAGGCCCAAGAAGCAGACCGAGAGCTCCTTAAGCAGGTGGCCCAACACCTATTAGAATTAAAGACGGAAGCTGCAGATCCGCTGCCAGTGGAGCAGAAAATGGCACGGGCCAGCTATGTTTTGCAGAAGATGACACCTGTGGATGATGTGGAGGCCTACCTCACAACTTTTGAAAGGGTTGCTGTTCGGGAAGGATGGAAAAAGGAGCAATGGGCAGGACTGCTTGCACCATTTTTGACAGGTGAATCCCAAAAAGCCTATTATGACCTGGAACCAGGGGATGCCCAGGACTATGAGAAACTGAAGGCTGAGGTCCTTGCACGCCTGGGCGTCACCATTGCGGTCCGGGCTCAGCGGGTGCATCAGTGACATTACAGGGCTGACAAACCACCCAGATCCCAGATGTTCGATTTGATACATCTCTCCAAAAAGTGGCTCCAGTCAGAGGTATTGTCCGGCCCTCAGATTGTGGAGCGTGTGGTCATGGACCAATATTTGCGTGCTCTCCCTGCCACTTTGAGGAAGTGGGTCGGCCGTGGAGACCCTAAATCTGCAAACGAGCTGGTGGACCTGATGGAGAGATATGCAGCCGCTGAGGACTTTTTTCATTCACCTGGGCCATACCCCAAGGTCACTAGGGGTGGAAAACTATCCGGAGGATCCGGTAAGACTGTTCCATGGGCCAAAGGCTCAGAAAAAAATGATAAGACTATTGTGTCAGATAATGAGACTGTAGGCTTAGGACCTAGAGACTGGCCAAATAGGTCAGGAAGGTCCCCAAAGCCATTTAGAGGTCTAAGCACTGAACATATAATATGTTATCGTTGTCATGCATTAGGTCATATTGCTGCAAATTGTCCTTTAAATGATGAACCTATGCAATGTGAAAATGCTTATGTAGGAAAACGCATGTCTCTTTTTGCACAGGTGGTATG